GCTTCAGTTTTGGAAAGATGATGAGGAGCATTGAAGTATCTCTGAGCCACACGAAGAACACGACAGCATTTCAACTACAGAAAGGAAAGGAAACGAACAAGCTGTCAATCGTCACGGGGAGAATCTGTTGAGGGTTGCGGCTGGAGAGTAGCCTTTCATCTCGCTACTCTATATGCGAGATGAATTATTGATGGTGAAAATCTAAGATAACTTATCTGTTGCGTGACGATAGCATGAAAAAGGTGCATGAGCAGCGCTCCATGGGACCTGTGCACCTCAAGGAAACTTTATAGGATTATCTGGTCATCACTTATATGCGTGCACATCAGTCTTAGAAGCCCAAACGGTGGCGCATGTGGTTTCTTCCGCGATGTGAAACCGAGGATCCAAAACGCCAGCAGAACGCTTCTTGTATCATTTCGTCCCTCCACTCATAAGTAGCGCAATGGAAAGTATGAGTTAGATGATGAGTTCATGTTCTCTAAATTTGGAAAGATAATCACGTTAAAACAATCCAGTTACAACCGCTCAGACGAAAACTGATCCATGATCGCCTTTATTTCCAAGAAAAAAAACCGAGCCAACTGTCTGCACCACTTGAAATAAGATCATTAAGCTTGGTTCAATCACTTTAAGATACTGACCTATTAGTTAGGGATCTCCTGTTGTTCAGTCATGTATGCTTCTCCTTCAAAGTGATGAATAATCATAAGCTGTCCACTCTATGCTTAACTCGAAATAAAAAAAAATAAAAAAAGGGAACCATACAATGAGTTCTATGGCCTCATGCTTTGACCGTAACTTAGTTAGGAGGTGCCAAAATTAGACAGCCTCCAGCGCTCGTCGCACAATTTGAATACATCCCGTATTTGTTTATCTAAGCGAAATGGACTTGTTCGAACCCATTGACACAACAATGTGTGAATTGAAATGGCTTTCTCCTGGATTTCTGTTGCACCATGTCACAATAACCGCGCTGTACATAAGGTTTTCATTTAATTTTTTAATAAAATGAGGATAATAATATTATATATATATATATATATCACTAATACTGAACAGCAAGCATAGTTAAATAAGAAACTTAGTTATAAGTCAACATGTGAGTGGTGCAAAGATTTTGGGCGAAAAACGGGGTTGTCGAATGTAGTAGAAAGAATATTCGAAGCCTTACAGATTTCTATTTAGGCCAAACCAGCTGTGAGATTGCTTGACTGGCTGGTTCACAAATAAGGCCAAGCGTCAAACATTCCACTTATTACACGCATTTTCAAACACTTGTCAAGGAGATGCAAACAAGATATACGTCTTCATCCATTGGGATGCTCCTAATCTTTTTGGTCCCCCTACCAGTCGGGACGCTGCTCCTCTCCTGTCCCGACGCTGACTGAGGAGTCTGCTCGCATCAGGACTCATGATCGGTTCCCAACAAAAGACTCAAGTCCCACTCTTCGTCCGTGATATCGTGGATCCCTGCCCAGGCTTGTTCTTGCTCGTTTGGAAACGAAGTATAGAGCTCCTCTTCTGCCGCAGTTCTTGTCAGGTTCCCGACGGCAGGGGTATTGGAGACGCCAATGTTCATGTCTCCGGCTTCCTTGGAGAGCGCCGCTACGGTGGGCCTCCGGTCGAACGACCTCTGCCCCTCGGTCTTCTTGTACAATCGGCATAGGCAGAACTCCCTTCGCACCTGAAACGATAATTGAAGCAGGTTATTCAAACAAAACAATAGAGTATGAGGGCTGCAACAAGGTCCCTACTATAGCCCCTCTTCCCCCTCCCAGGTGAAGGTGTAGGACTTCACCCTTTGAGTTGCACCAGGAGCTGACGTCTCATCGTATGCGGTATACTCGTTCATTTTCCAGGAGGTTTTGCGTCCACTTTGAGGTCTTCCTTCGTAGAAGACCATAGTCGTCCGTCTGCCGACAGGGCGGCCCTCATGGATCACTTGTGTGGGGGAGCCGGTGGCCTTCCAGTAGCCATATCGAGTGGTGCGGGTTGGTCTCCCGCCCTGGGCCTCCCTCTCCTGTCTAGGGCAGAAGAAGAACCACTGCTCCGGGTCCCCGATCGATGCTTCTCCGGAGATCGCTGCACGAGGAATCACATGGCCGCTTAAGATGGAGTCAAGTATGAAAGGTAGAAAGTGGGCACGATATGAGATATGACCATTATTTAACATGGGATCTGGAAGGCAGGAAGATAAATATAACACGAATCGATGCAGTTGCTTAGGAGGAATCACTGCTATCCACAAGGGTGACTTTAGATCTTTCCAAACTCATTGTAACGCTGGAGTGAGAGGCCGGGAAGGGGTATGTAAGCTATCCAAGTTCTTGTGTACTCAAAACAGCTAAATTTCTAGTTAACGTTATAAATTGGGTGTTTCGGCCTCTATAATACTTCTTATCCTCCATCAGTTTCTCCATGGTCAGTCGCTGAAGAAACCTAATTCCTCTATTTTACTTCAATTTGCACCCTTTCATCTTCACAGAGAGAAGATGTG